GGGGGGGGGAAAGGGGGGGGGGAGGGAAATGTCACCCGGCGGGCGCGGTGCTGAGGGACGGAGCGAGGGGACGGAGGGACGGGGAGCGCCGCCGGCTGTCAAGGTAAAGGGGCCGCGGGGAAGGGGGGGCTGCTCCACGCGGCGGTGCTTTTCCCCCCGCCGCCCCCGTCCCTCCCCGCGGGACCCCGCGCTCAGGTCCCCCCCGCCGCCCCGCCCGGAGTCGCTGCGGGCCGAGCCGTGCGGGCCGGGCCCCGCGCAGAGCCGGTTTGAAAAAAAATAGCGCTGCGGGGACGCGGGGCGGGGAGGATGGGGGTGGGGGGGGGGATGGGAGGGGAGGGGGGGGGGAAGAAGCGAACTTTCATTTTCACGCCGCCCCCCCGGAGCCGCGCCGAGCCGTCAGGTAGCGGACGGAGCTCGGCCCGCGCTCGCAGCCCCATTCGGCGGAGGGGGGAAGCGAGATGGAGGCGCTCCGGACCTCTGCGCTCTGCACTTGACGTGAGGCTGCGGCGGGTCCGCCTGAGCCCGGCGCCGGGCTTCCCTCTGCGGGAGGGAGAGAACAGCGGGCGCCGCGCACCGCCGCTCCCAGGCCCGCGCTCTCACTCTCCTCTCGCTCGTTGCCTTTTTTTTTTCTTTCTTTTTTTTCTTTTCTTTCCCTTAACCGACCGACGCGCAGAGCTCCGAGCTGCCGGGCTCGCTCGGACCGTCATGGCTACGAGAAGTGCGCTGCCCGTCAGAAACGCGCGATCCCGGGGCCGCCGGCTGAGCGCCGAGCGGTGCGTGAGGCACCGCACGCTGATAGCGCGCCCGTTTGCGGCTGCTTGCGCCTCAGCTCCGAAGCTCGGGATCGCTACAGAGCCAACTCTTTTTTTTTTTTTTTTTTTTTTAAGTATAAATGATTGGCCATATATTTACACTTTCAGGCTTAGCTGATTAAAACCGCCCTGAGTGAAGTTTTCAATAAGCACTGAAAGGAATGGCAGCCAACGGCTTGGATTTTTTTTTTTTTTTTTTTTTTTGTGCCCACAAAAGCAGGATTTTGTGGTAGAAACAGCAATTAGAGCACCGAAAAAATATATAAAAAATACAGTGTTGCCGATACCACTCGTCTGTATTTAGATTACGGATAGTTTTGCCCTAAAGCGATTCTAGCTGCTATTTTGCACCCATTTTTTTTCCCAACTGTGATGCAGAAATAAGATCTAGCAGATAGGATGTCGGCCTTTTTTACCAGGATGTGGTATTCTCTTATAGGGATCACACTATTGTCCTCTCAAACGGCATTTCTGAGGTTTCATTAGGATTTCTAATGGCACTGAAGTTTCTGCACACTGCTGTCCCATACGTGCTCGCAGACACACACAGGCCCAATCCTGTGTGTGGTTCTGTGCTTCGTTATGCCCCTGTTCCAGACTTAAGCTGGAAGTCGTATTACACAATCACTGCTCTCAGTATGACTTAGGGCTGCACGAAGCGTAAAGCCAATGCAATAGTCTCGGTTTGCATCATCTGCCCGTATCTCTGGGATTGAAGCTAAATAATGCACAATTATCATAATTTTAGGATCAGGATGGTTAAATATTTAACGGCGAGGAAGGGCAGTCACTCTTGTCTAACAGCCCCTGCAATAGGAGGTGGGTATTGCACTCTCTGGCTGCAGCATCTGGGAGAGGATTGTCAGCTCGCTTCCTCAGTGACTGGCAAAGCCAAGGAGTCACAGCAGGGGCACAGCTGAGGACAGAAGGCAGGGGAGAGGGATTTTGAGCCTTAACAAAAGCGATGTCAGTTCTTTAGATCGGATTTCCATTCCAGATAACGTGGGCTCATCAGAACGGTGGAAGTCCTATCTGCTGTGGCAGCTAATAGAGGGTAGAGCTGCAATTTCTGTGCTGCACTCCCTTCCTCACACATTCCTTGCTGAAGCACAACCTGCACACCTCTTGGCAGAGCAAATGCCCCACTGCAGGCACTTCTCCTCAGAGGGTGTCATTACGTTCTCAGAGAATCTTCCACTGCTGTAACGTGACATGACCAGCATTTGTCATGTTATCTGCTCTCCTGTTGCCAGGGGGAGGAGCATGTGCAGTTGAATGTTTTGAGTTTATCTGTCTTTTTTTTTTTTTTTCAATATACGTGTTGTGTGTTTACAGTAGTGAGGCAAGGTCAAAGTCATGTATTTTGTTCTCCAAGCACTATGTGGTTGGTTGGGCTCCTGGTGGCCCTTAGCTCCTGGGTGTATTCATCCCATTGACTTGCTCCAGCTCCTGAGAAAGTGTGTCTCTATAAATGTCAGCTTTTTCCCTTAGTTGTGTAAATTCTCTTGTGTCAGGTGAGAGAAACTGCTGACACGAGGCTGTAGTCTGGAGACCCAGGCATTTCTTTGGGAAACCTGGATTTAGGCCCTGGAGGATCTGGAGAACCTAAATCTGTCATTTAAAGTTCTATAGAAAATCATCATTAAGTGGAAGAGAGGGACTTTCGGGGGGAATTCACCCCCGAATTCACCTACACCACTGAGATGACATTCCTTCTGGCTTCCTATACTTGGGAGTTCCCTATATGGAACAGGCATCACACTTGGGTATACCAAACTGCCAGGATCTGTCTGTGAGGTGGCACAACCAAAGCAAGGTCCTGATCTCCCAGAAAGGCACAGGAGCTCCCAGCTCGTCAGGGATGGTTAGAAAGCTGGAGGCTGTCTTTTGACTCAGGCACGCTTTACTTTGCAAATTACCTTGCTATGTGTTTTTAAGATTTATTTTACAACCGTGAGGATTAGAGGAATTTGTTGTAATGAAAACTGGCATTGTGTCATTACTGTGTAACTGTGTAGCTGGATTCTTTGGTCTGCCTGGGTACTTGCATATTATTCCACTCTCTTCTGGTCCGGCTGCTAAGTGAGTTACACCAAATGGAGGCTACCAATGTACACCCAACATGGAGCAGTTATAATAACGTTTTCAAGTAATTGCACATCAACATATTATTTGGGTTCCCTGTTTTAGTATGGCATATGTGTGCATAGCCAGTAGAAATTCCAACTTTTTTTTTTTTGTATTTATTTTTCTAGTTTAAGCCCTGCCTTGCTTTTGGTGCTTATCCAGCCTTTGCTGGATCTCTGTTAGAGATTCACCAAGGCCTCTCCTCAGACCTCTTCTGAAAGTTTGGTACCAGCTGAAGTTTCTGTTTAATAATCTACTTTAATAATTGACTGTAATTGAACATCTCCTTTCATTTTTGGCTTTTCTACTTCTTTCTGTGGTCATTAAATCTCTGATGTATCCTGACAAACGTAGGATTTAGAATTCATTGCTTATGGTTGTCCTGTAGCAAGGACTGAAGTGTGCACCATTTGTTATTGTGCGGTCTCATTAGACTTCAATGGCTGTGAAAACAAACTTCTGAATTTGCCATTTGAGAGCTGATCTAGGGATCTTTCTCTTGGTATTAAGGACAGCAGGAAGGACGTGCTAGATTAGGATGCACATCTTTTTTATTAAATTCCCTATAATTTTTTTTTTTTTCCCCAGTGTCTAAGATGCTTCACACAGCATAAAGGCAGCTGGTATAATCCAAAGGTTGGGCTTATGATACTTTCTTTAAGACCTGACAGTATTGACTCTAACACAGCCATAGGCCTGACCCATAATGAACATATCCTTGAGGCCTCGGGAAACATTTGCTATTAAACTTAGGTTCTGTGGTGAAGTTTTGCTAAAACAGCCTGGCTGTAACTTCTAAACATTGTAAAAATTCTTCTGCATGTTAGTGGTTGTGAAATGTGCTGGTTCGTTATCTGTGAAAACTGAAGCCCATTCTTTATGGATTAATTACAGCAGAGCAGTTGCCAAGTGATCTTCTCCACAGCACCCACGAACTTTGGCCTTACACTGAAGAGGACTCATCAAATGGTGAGAAAATAAGTGTGGTTGGCGGGGCTATAAATTATTGAGGGGATGCTCTATTTTTTATTTTTTTTTTCTTGGTATCAATTCTGTTATTTAACTGCTATCAAAGTTAGATTGGTTTTGGTAGGATAATTGCTGGGGCCAAAACCTGATTTTTCACCTTCCCACCTGCTATTTCGCTTGTTACTTTCTTCAGCTTCATCATCTTCTTATTCATCCTGGACTTTTCCAAATAATTGCTAGAGATACACTGAATTTATGAGCTATTTTTTTATTACTTGATTTAGCCTTAGTCCTGTGCATGTGCTCAGCTGTGTTCATAGGAGGATTTCTATCAGCACCACCAATCAGTGCAGCACAGCTCGGATATGCAGAATTGTTGGAAAGACTGAAACTCAGACTTTGCAAATATGTATTCCTGCGTTTAAATGAAATGCTACTGAAATTAATACAGGAGTGAGAGGTCTGGAAATGCTTTAGCTAGCACTAATTTGTTTGCTTTTATGCTGTTCAATTCATTTCTTTTAAGACAGCGTGATGTAAATTGTTCATTTGCTTCTCTAGTTTCCCAATTTCTGGGAAATTTTGAAATCTGAGCTTCAAAACGTTTGTAAAATTTTAGTAATGCTCATGATTCTCATAAAAGGAACAAAACGTTATTGTGTTTAACCATTTTGTGAGAAGGGAACTGAATCTAGAGAGGAACTAATTCTATCAGTAACTCACTGCCTTAGTCAGGTCTTCAACCTTGCTCTAGCTCTGTACCAAAACAAAATAATGATTTTTACACATATGGGATTATTAAGCATGCATTTTAAAAAGAGAGAATTTCCTTTTTTATAGCTGTAGGTGAAGGGTGGAATATTAGTAGCGGGAGAGGACATGAGAATGTAGCTGTTAAGCACTGGTGCTGG